TAATTTATTAATTTTTTTTTAAAAATGAGTTTTTCAAAAGAAGGTATACATTCATCCGTTGAGGATTCATTTGATTTTGATTTTTAGTAATTGTAATGTGTAAAATCACATAGCTTTGAAAAATAATGTAACTTATAATATTTTGTAATTCGAAGGAATAAATTAAGAATACGTAGAACCATATTTCTGTCTTCTGTAATCCTAGGCTTATAAAGCTCATCATCCAAGTACTGAACTTGTATTAGGCCTCAATCAAACACCAATTCCACAACAGTTCGTGCCAGTACACATGATTACTTCTAGCCAAATAGATGACCTGTCCAGTCCTGCCAAGAGGAAAAGAACATCTAGTCCAACAAAGGTATATGTATATTTTAGAGACTGAAAAGCTCTCCAGTTTTTGTGCTATTTATTAGCAGTATTTCCTATCCTGAAATTGTAGCTTCATTTAAATGCAGAAGGTAAGGATAGGTTTATGTTCATCAGATCATTTTACTCATTTCTCTGATATTTTATGAAATTAACACACCTTTTGCCACCACTTTCTACTGGCACTGAAATGCAGTTTTAGATATAAAGGACCGCCTGTTAACTCTTTGAGCCACAATTTAGAGAAGAGCCTTTTTAATGGAGAGTAAAAAATGAATGTTTCAAATTCAGAGGTTTCCAACTTAACAACCTATGCACTTTATGTGTTGTAAATTATTTTTAAAATGATTTGAAAAGATAAGTCACATAAGTATGTAAATACTCCAGCTCCAAGTCATGTGGTGTATCACTACTCATAACTGTTAGGGCACAAATTAAACCAAATATTTCCAAATATTTAAAAAAAAATTTAAATTAAACTTTCCTTAGAATAGTCTTGAGAAGTGGAATAGCCACACTGTTTGACTCACTTCAGTAATGCAACAGGTTAATTTATGGTATTTGACACCCTAGAAATCATGGATATGAAATATTTTTGATAGTTTTTTCACCACCTTAAAGTAGTAGAAATATTAAGCTTTAAGTAATTTTTGAGTATTCTGAAAGTTAAATGACAGTAAACTAAACTATATGTACATAAGTGTAATGAGCCCACATTTTCCAGAGTAATATATATTTTTTTACTTTTTTGAAGAGCTAATATTTTTGTGTTTGAAACGTAAAAAATTAATAGAAGATGGAATGCACAGGTTAAAGGCTCTTTCTAGTTCCTGCCTCTAGCCACATAATGTTTTTTCCTACAAATAATAAATATTAATAGCGTCTTTGTGTGTTTCTCTAGAGATACATTGTACATGTAAAAGAAAACATTCTTGTACAAAAACAAGAAAACAAAAACATTCCTTTTTGTCTTTTTCGTACAGTAAATATAGGTAAGAATTCTGTGTATAACTCTTCAGGAGTGATTCTCCTCTTCCCCCAATCACCCCAGGTTATTTAACTGGATTACCTATTGTTGACTTTTCAAGTCATTTCCAACCATTCTTGTAAAAGGTTAATTAGCTCTCTTTGTGAAGATGGTAGTTTCTTTTCCGTGTAATACATTTAACTCAAAACATAGCGAACTTTCTTCAGATGAATTTCTGATTTTTACATTTCTTAGATTTCATCTTGGGCTTGGTTAATTTGGGTTACTACAGGAATCACTATATTTGACCACACAGAGGTTCTGAGGTTGTGGTCTTTTCAGTGACAAGTTTACTATCTTTCTTCTTACTTTTAACTTTGTATTGTTTTTCATTTTTTCAGCACGTGGAACAGCTGCGTGCAAATAAAGATAACTTAAATCCAGCACAGAAATTGATGCTGGAACAGTTGGAAAGTCAGTTTGTTTTAATGAAACAAGTATGTATACCATTTTTATTCTAATGTTTATTATCAAATTAAATATTTTACCTGAGTAAAATATCAGAGGATATTAATGTTCATTTTAATTTACTACATGTACTCAATAAAATTTATATAACCGAGTTTAAATACTAATGGACAATTTTTCTTAAAGGCATAAATTTAGAATAAAACACTTTGATATTTTGCTCTTTATTAGCAAACTACTTCAGATGTATTCCATAATCTCATTTTTGTTACTTTATAATTAACAAAGTATCCATACTGAGGTGAGCTGCTTTGAAGATTTATCATAAGCATAATAAAATAGAAATTTTAAATCCCCTACCTACTGATAGAAAATAAAGCCCATAAATTATTCATCATAATTTCATCTTTCTTTTGCCCTTAAGCTACTAATAAAGGAGATTTCTTAACTACATAATGAGAAAGATTTCTGCTTCCCCATATGAACATATTATGCCATTTTTAAAATGTATGATTTTTGAACCAAGAGATATCAGATGTTATAATAAGTTAGGGATGTTGAGTACACATTTTCAGTCACACAGTGGGTTTTCTTTTTTGTTTTTTTTTTTTAAGACGAAACAAACAGGACAAACTACTGGAATTCTTAATGGCCCACTAACTGACTCTTCACTGCCTACAAACTCTGTCTCCAGCCAGCAACTATATTCTGCCCTGCCCAGAGTTTCTAGTGTCTCTCAGCCTGAAGTTCACTCTGCTTATTTTGAAAAGCTCTTGTCCAGTGGACCATTTTCTGCAGGCTGTGCTCCTTGCAGCACACCAAAAACGCTAGGGAGTGCAGACACTATTTTGGTAGGCAGTAATTACATAACAGGAAGTGGAAGTAATGGAAATGTGCCTTACCTGAAGCCAAACACATTCACTCTACCTCATAACTGCACAAACCTGACCAGCAGCGCAGAAGAGCCATGGAGAAAACAGCTATCTAACTCTGCTCAGGTAAAAAACAGATTAGATGCTTTTTTTTTGCTCTTACATAATTTTTCTTTGGCTGTGGACATTTTGAGTATAAGTAAATATTTAAGGAACATTTTTATTTTTAAAAAGCAATTTTAAATAATTCATAATTATATGAGAACTTTAAGTTTTACAGTGTTAGTAAATTACATTGTTAATCTATGCACATGAGCATATTTACTTTTATCCAATATAAATTAATATACTATAAATTATGTTAGGAAATATGGAAATAAGGAAAAGAAGGGAAAAAATGAACAGCCTTATAGTCTCCTCAAATTCCATTGCTAATTAATGAAGATATCATGACTTTTTTATATTCACAATTTATATCTGCAAATATTCTCTACATAAGATCAGTGCTATGCCAGATGTCAGGCATTGATTTTATGGCGACTAAAAGACTAGTCAAATTTCACTTACTGTGTAGGGGAACGTGTCTTAGGAAAACCAAGAGGCTAAAGTCTCAGAAAAATGAGGGAATTTGGAGGGCAAAGGACAGGTCAAATGTAGCTAGAGCATAGTTTATGGAGAGAGGACAAAATGTTAGGCTTAAAGGAAGGGCTTGATTGATCTTGAGGGTAAAAGATTTGGTGTAGAGTTGGAAATGTCTTGAACAGCCTCTTTTTAAAAAACTTATTAATTAATAGACTATAATCAAGTTCACTTTAGCTTCATAGAAAATTGAGCAGACAGTACAGAAAGTTCCCAATGTCACCCATGGTTTCCACTGTCCTGAACATCTTGTAATAATATGACACATTAGTTACTGTCCTACTAACTAAATCCTGCATTATAATTCACTCATTGTATGGGTTTTGACAAGCATGTAATGACATGCATCCAACTTTACAGTATCATATAAGAGAAAATAGAATTCACCATCCCCACCTTACAGTCTTGTTTATTCCTTCTTGGCTATCCTGAAGCCTATCACAGTCACACATTTTTTAATTGTCTCTATGTTGTTGCCATTTCCAGATGTCATGTAGTTGAAATAATACAGAATGTATCCTTTTTAGAATGGCTTCTTTCATTTACTAATAGGCATTTAGGTTCCCTCCCTGTCTTTTCTTGATGTGATAGCTGTTTTCCTTTTTAATCACTTATTATATTTAATGCGTGTATTTACCACACAGCTTATTCATTCACTTAATGAAGGACTTCTTGGTTATTTCCTCATTTTTGAAATTATAAATTAAGCTACTATATACATCACACATTCATATAGACATCTTTTTGACTTGCTTGGATAAAAAGCTAGGAGCATCATCGCTGGCTTAGAGTGGTAATAAGTTGAGTTTTGTAAGAAGCTGATAGTTGTATTCTAATGCAGCTGAATTTTCCATTTTGCATTCCCATTCACAGTGACTGAGCCTTCTTTTTGCTGTAGCTTCTCCCAGTGTTTGGTGTTGATAGCTGTCTTGGTCATTTTGGGAGATACAAAGTACTATAGACTGACTTGTTTACAAACAAGATAAATTTATTTATTATAGTCATGGAGACTGAGAAGTTCAAGATCAAGGCATTGGCCTATTTGGTATCTGTTGAGGTGCCTTCTAATTTATAGTTGCCTGAGTTATCACATTATCCTCACATGATTCAAGGAGCAGTGGAACTCTCTGGGTCTCTTTTATAAGGACATTATTTCCTTCTTTCATGCCTCTGTCCTCATGACATAATCGCTTCTCACAGGCCCCACCTCCAGATACCATCAAATTTGAGGATAAATCTCAACATACAAATTTTGGGCGGACAATTTATGTCCTCAGTATTTTGGATTTTAGTAATTTTAATAGGATTGTTGTGGTAGCTCATTGTTTTAGTTTACAATTGTCTAGTGATCTTTGGAGCATTTTTTTATATGGTTATTTGCCATTTGTATATGTTCCTTGGTTAGCTATGTGCTAAGATCTTTCAGCCACATTTTAATTGCAGTTTATTTTCTTAATATTGAGTTTTGAGAGTTTTTTAAAAAATATTTTTGGTGACAGTCTGTAATCATATGTTTTTAATAAATATTTTCTCGCAATTATCAAGTCTTTCTTTCACTATCGTTCCTTAAGAAACTGTATCTAAATTGTCATCGTTATGCCCAAAGTTTTCCCATGTGTTAACTTTTAGGAGTTTTAAACTTTTGCCTTTTACATTTGTGAGTGGTTTAAGTTCTGTGTAAAGTTTCATTATTTGTATGTGGATCCCCAGTTATTCCAACACTGTTGAAAAGACTACTTCTGCTCTATTATATTACCTTTACTCTTCTATAAAAGATCACTTGACTCTATTTATTTCTGGGCTTTGTATTTTGTTCCATTGATCAGTTTGTGTATTTCTGTTGCCAGTACCATGTTGCTTTGGTTATTTAATACAGCTTTATATTAAGTTTCAAAATCAAGTCATGCCAGTCATCTAACTGTTTTTTTCCTCTCAAAATTGTGTTGACCATTTTGGCTCATTTAGGTCCATGTAAACATGAGAATCACTTTGTCAACATCCATAAAAATAATGCTGGGATTTTTATTTGGAAGCTTTAAGACTATATATCAAGTTTGTGAGAACTGACATCTTAATACTGAGTCTTACTATTGTTGAACATAGAATATATCTGGTTATTTAGTTCTTTGATTTGTTTAATCAGAGTTTAGTAGTTTCCGTTGCATAGATCTTGACAATGTTAGGTTTATCGCTAAATATTTCATTTTAGTGGGAGTGCTCATATAAATGATATTGTGATTTTAATTTGAAATCTCAGTTTCAGATCTCATTGCTCCTTTCTCTTTATCACTGAATAACATTCTATTATCTGTGTATTTCACAATTAATTTATTCATGTATCTGCAGAAGGTTAAAAAAAATCTATCAAAGTAGAATTTGAGGGAACAATCTTGCCTTCTGCCTGCACTTAGGTAATGCTTTGAGTTTCTCACCCTCAAATGTAATGTTAGTGGTAGTTTTTTTGTAGATATTATGAAGTTAAAGAAGTTCCTCTGTATTTCAGTTCACTGAGAGTACTTCTGTTATGCACAGGTGTTTGATTTTATCACATGCTTTTTCTGCATCTGTTGTTATGATCATTTGAATACTTCCTTTTTTGTCTTTGTAAAATAGATTATGATGATTGATCTTTGAAAGTTGAACCAGCCTCGCATACCTAGGATAAGTCCCACTTGACCATGCTTATTCTTTTTATATGTAGTTGCATTTGCCTGGCTGATTGAGGAATTTTGCATCGATGTTGGTGACATGTGGGTCGGTAGTGTCTTTTTCTTATAATGTTTTAAGTAATGTCTTGTAAGTGTGGTATTGGTATTAGGGTGATTGTTACCCCAGCCTCATAGTAGAGTTATGAAATGTTCCCTCTGCTTCTATTTTCTGGAACAAATTTTAAGCAGTGGCATATTTCTTCCTTAAATGTTTTATAGAACTTCAGAGAACTCATCTGAGCATGGTAGTGCTTCTGTTATGAAAGGTTATTATCGATTGATTTTTTAGTAGTTATAAGCTTATAACTTATTCAGATTATTTCTTTCTCCCAGTGTCATTTTTGGTATATGTGCCTTTCAGGGAACTGGTCCATTGCATTTGTGTTATCAAATTTGTGGGCGATTTAGAGTTGCTCATTGTATTCCTGTATCAACTGTCAATGTCCATGGGATCTGTAGTGATGTTCCATCTTTTGTCTCTGTAATTAGTAAGTTGTGTCCTGTATTTGTTTTCTTCCCTTCAGTTAGCCTGGCTTTGTCAACTATATTGATCTTTTCAAAGAACCAGTCTTTGGTTTCATTGATTTTTCTTTATTGATTTTCTGTTTTTGGTTTTATTGATTAATGTTTTAGTTCTTAATATTTCTTTCCTTCTACTTACATTGGATTACATTTAATTTTCCTTCTAGTTTCCTCGAGGAGAAACTTAGATGCTTGATTTCAGATCCTTCTTGCTGTTATATATGTTGATTGCCCTAAATTTCCCATTAAGCATTGCTTTAGATTCATCTCACAAATTTTAGTAAGTTGTGTTTTTATTTTGAAGTTGGCTCACAAAACTGAGTAGTATGAGCTAGTAATAAATAAACAGCTTTATGAGTTCTAATAATAAGAGCTAGCCAGAGTCTGATGTTCAAACTTGTATTTTCAGTGGTCACCCGGTGGTTGGGAAGCTACATATGTGGAGGTCCAAATTAAATTATACTTGGGTTTCAGTTGTGTTAGGGCAACACCACTAACCCCACATCGTTCAAGGTTCAGCTGTACTTCGTAACCCCAAAAGTTTCTTTGTGAGCAGTTGGAATTAACTTCCAACTTTTTACCTGACTCTGGAGCCACAAATTTGCTATTGGTCTGTAAGGTTCACTCTTAAAGAGATTTAAATGAATGGATTCTTGTTTTTTTCCTCCCTACTTTTGTCATTGGATTATATGAATATATATCCTTAATTTTAGTCCATTTATTAATTTAGAAAAACTTGTTGCTTTTTCTTGTTTTGGTTATAAACATTACCAGTAATGCTATTATGAACATTTATTATAAAATTTATTTCTGTAGGTATGTTTTAATTTCTATATCTGCAAGTTTATGAGTGCAGTTGATATAGTCATGTTATAAATGTTAAACTTTTGGAGACTGTTTCAAACTCATAATGCAAAGTGGCCGAATCATTTCACATTCCTACCAGCCAAGTTTGAGTTTCCACTTACTCTGTGTAGTTGCCAACACCTGATACTGATAAGTCTTTGAATCTAGCCATGTTAATGAATATATAATTGTTAAGGCTTAATTTGTAACTTTCTAATACCTATTAATTTCTGTGTGATTATTTGCCATTTTTGTATTTAGATGTTTTTCTTATGATGATGATGATGATGATGTAAGGTTTTGTCTGTATTCTGGGTAAAAGTTATATTTGAGACAGGTTTTGCCAGTATTTTGTCCTAGTCTCTGAGTTCCATTTTACTTTATTTGTGTTTTTGAAATGCAAATACTTAATTCTGCTAAAGGTATTTTATAAAAAAATCTTAATGTGTTTTTGATATCATGAAAGAAATCTTCTGTACTTTCTTACAGATTTTGTACAGTTCAGTTTTCACCCTTTGAGTTCTATTGGTCATTTTGAGTTAATTTGTTTATTTTTTTAAAGTATATCTATTTTGCATATAGATATGCAGTTATTTCAGCACCATTTATAGAAATATTTTCTCCTTTTCATCCTGCCTGCTTTGTCAAAATTAATTTACCAAGGTTTTAAGTGTACTTAGAGCTATTTTGTGCTGATAAAGTTTTCCTTCATAATTCTAGTTTTGATCACTAACTTTATAGAATGCTTTAAACTTAAATTATACAGCTCAAACATTTTAATTATTTTCAAAATTCATTTGATTTCAATATCTTCTTTGTACATTTATATGATTTTTTAGGCCTAGCCTGTTAATTTGTACCAAAACTGCATACAGGGATTTAATAGGGATTGTATTATATGTATACATCAATTTGGGGGCAAATTGCCATGTTAATAATATTTTTCTAAACTATGAACATAGCATTTCTCCATTTACTTTTCTTTTAATTTCTTTCAGACATATTTTTATGCAGTTATGAATAAATTTATGTTCTTAATTTATTTTCAGAGTGATTCTTGTCAGAATATAGAATTAATTGTAACTTTGAGACCTTATCCAATTCATCTATTTTGTAATATTATTATATATTTCTTTGATTTTGTTTTTTGCAAGATTATGGGTTTCATGAATAAAAGCATTTTTACTTCTTTTTGAAACTTTATCTGCTTAATTTTTTTGTCTTACATCCTAGCTTAGAATACCTCATTCACTGTCAAATAGACAAGCTAATAGCAGATATGTCTGATTTGTTCTTCTTGGATAAAGCACCTGTATTTCAGTATTAAATACGATGTTATCTGTAAATTTGATAAATGCCCTTCTTAGTTATCTGAGAATTCATGTTGGATTTTGTCAATACTTTTTGTGTGTGTATTGAGATATTTAGATGCTATTTGTCTCTATCCTTATAGTATTGATATATTACTTTGATGTTGCTCAGTGCAGTGAAAACATTACATTGATTACATTGATTGATTTATCAGATGTTAAACTTTTTATTTCTGGGATAAACCCTCACTGATCACGGTGCATAATCCTTATATATGGCTTAATTTGATGTGTTAATATTTTTTTGAATATATTTGGTGATATGTTCAAGAAGGTTATTTTTCTACAATATTGTCTTTTTCTTTTTCTGGTTTGGAATAACATTGGTCCCCTATGATTAGTGGGTAAATATTTATATATTTTTGATTTTGGTAGGATTAATATAATATCTCTAGAAATGTATTTATGGGATCTGTGGTGTTGTCAAATCTTTTGTTTTTGATTTAGTAAAATTTACTTTTTAGAATTGTTCTTATATATTTACCTAATTTTAAAAATTTATATTTAGTTAGCCTTTTCAAAGACCAGTTGTATTTTTTTCCTCCTGAATTTTTCCGTTGCATTTCCGTTTTTATGGTTCATGGTTTTTTTTCTGATCTATATTTTTCCCTTTATTTATATTCAGTTTAGTATCTTCTTTGTAGCTTCGTAATGCAGTAGCTTAGTTTGTTGACCTTAGACTTTTCGTCTTTAAAAATGTGTTGAGTTATAAAGTATTGTTTTGATTACAAATTTTGATACGTGTGTTTTGATTTTCATTCAATTTCCTAATTTTCTGTTGCAATTTCCGTATTTGACCCATGAGATATTTAGAATTTTGTTGTTTATTTTCTAAATTTTGAGTATTTCTCGCATTTTATTGTTTTTGATTTGAAGTAGTTCTGTTTTGTTCAGGGAACATGGTTTGTTTGATTTGAATTTTTGTAATTTTACTGAGACTTGTTTTTGCTCCTAGTCTATAATGTGTTGTGGAAAATATTTCATGTGGGCTGAGAATATGCATTCTCTTGATGTTGAATGGCGTGTACTATTATATGACAGGTTATGTTGGTTTAAAGTATTAATTTTTAAAATATTTTTGCTTATTTTTTGACTAATTTTCCTGTCAGTCATTCACAATGGGCTATGGAAATCTCCAACTATTATTGTTGAATTGTATGTTTCTCCTTCAACTGTCATGTTTATACTCTATATACTTTTGAGTCACATGGTACATATTTATTTGTAATTTATAAGAAAATATATGATGTAATAAATCCTTTCACTTAGAAAGTCCTTTCATATTAAATTTTTTCTGTAATATGTTCTTTATTAATATCATAATTTCAACTCACTTTAGTACTGTTTGAATGGTATGCCGTTTGTCAGGTTTTTACTTTCAAAAATTTTGTCTTGAAAGATAATTGTCTTTTGCATATAGCATGAGTTAGTTCTTGGTGTTTTTAAAGAGTTTAATTTTCTTTAAAGATACTGACCACTTTAATCAGTTGATTATGGGAACTTTAAAAAATAATTTTTAGGACTTGGGATAAAGTATACATTTAATTGTTTATTTCTGGTAGCTTTGCTTTTATTTGATATTTTTAGTTCTTAGTATTGTCTGAGCTTGTACAATAGATTTAAACAATTCTTTTTAATTTCTTTATTTTTTTCTTTTCTTAGGGGCTTCAGAAAGGTCAGAGTTCACATTTGTCAGAACCTAATGATGAACAATCTTTATTTTCCACTGGGCCTGCCCAGTATCTTCAGGCAGCTGTCACTGGTATTCGGAAACAGACTGAAGTTCGAACTATACCTAGCAATTCAGTCACACAGGGAGATGCTCTCAATCACTTCTCCTCTCATATTGCTACCTCAGGTGGACAACAAGGCATTACCTTTACCAAAGAGAGCAAATCTTCAGGAAATCGATCTTTGGTGCCTGAAACAAACAGGCATCCTGGAGACGTGCCTAATGGCTGCACTGTCGTCGAGGAACTTTCAAATCATGTTCAGCAGCTGATGGCAGAACCTATTTGCAGTTCTAACCATGGAGATTGTGCATCACCAAATCTATTAATATCAGACAATCCTCAGATCTCTGCCTTGTCGATTGGAAAAGCAAACGACAATGTGGGTACTGGAGCCTGTGACAAAGTCAATAATATTCACCCAGATGTTCATACAAAGGCTAATAATTCTGTTGCCTCTTCACCCTCTTCAGTCATTTCCACTTCAGCACCTTCTCCAAAATCCACTGGACAGACAGCCACACACAGTGTTTCCAGCCTTAACAGTCCTCACAGTAGGTTACATACAATTAATAGAGAAGGGCTAGATAATGTACAGAGCTCTAAAAAACCAGACATGCCTAGAGTTAGCCACAAACCTGGTCCTCAGATCATACCATCAGTGTCTGTGTCCATATATTCAAGTTCCACAGAAGTTCTGAAGGCATGCAGGTTAGTATGGGAAAAATGGAAATCACAAAGTGAAAATTGTTGAGTACTGTCCAAATCAGAAAACTTGATGTTTTGATTTATAAGAAGTAGAAGTTATATGAAAGAAGATGTCGTCACTTATCTAAAATAAGTTTCATAAAGAACTTTGTTATGCCTCAGTATTATGATTTTACATTAGTGTATTAACATTTTGCTACAAGCGGCTTTATCTGGGAGCCATCACTCTATGTAGTGTTCCTGACCTCCACTGGTTATTGCAATTACCACCTTCTCTGTGATTGACCTTATTCTGGAAACTGAAACTAGAGAGCAGGAAACCTCAGTGTTTATTTTCTTTCTGCAGTGCTACAGAAGGTTAGAATGTGGGTAGGAAGCGTAGAGAAAATACAGAAAATTGAGAAATGGAAGATTATCAGATGCTCTGGGAAGAATGGCCATATTCTGCTATTTTTAGAAGAAGGGGCCTCAGAATTTTATTTGTTAATGGGTTTTATTTACTTCTCACTAAAAACAAGCAAAGAATTAGTAAAACTTTCTTTGGTATTATGGCATCATGTAGATTTCCCCCTCCTGAAGATGCTGGTGAAAATTTTGGGGGGAAAACTTTCTTGAGATATATAATTTATATACTTTATAGTTTGCTCATTTAAAATGTACAGTTCACTGGTTTTCAGTATATTCCCAGATATGTGCCACCATCACCACAGTCAATTTTACAGCTGTTTAACCACCTCAAAAAGTAACTTGACGTATAGTTTTTAAAGTAGTGTTATTATTCTCTTTATGTTAAACACAGTAATATCTGATCTTCAATTAAATAATAACTTAATTCTCACACTTATGCATAAGTTTCCGTATTGGAAACCAGTACTTAAGTTATTAAGTAGATTTAAATTGCCAACTGTGTCTTGGTCATATTTTCTAGGGCATGGGATTGGAAATTTGAAAAGCAATTATTGTATTTTAAAATTGCAGATTAAAATGCAGTAAAAATTCCAGATTAAAATGAAGTAAAATTGAAATAAATACTGTAGAAGTAGGCAGTCTAAAGATTATTTTGATCTATATGACTTAAGTACCAATTTTGAATTATAATGTGAAAACAATTCTTGTTTAATGATATGAATATCATTTAAATGGGGAATTTTTATATGTTCTCTATATTAGACTTTGAGACACTTAGATTGTTTTACTGGAAGGCATCATGAGTCAGCTAATAAATGTATGCCAGACAAACTTATAAAAACATTTAAAATATTTTATATACTGTGCATGCAGCAAACTGGGGTGGTATTGAGAGTAATGAAAATGATTCCTCTTTTGTATAAAACTCTTTAAAATGAGTATATTTCATATTAGTGGGTTAAAGATTTTAACCTTCATCTTTTTATAATATATGTAAACATTCATTTCAAGATGAAATACTTTCATAGAAGTTTTTTTTATTAGAAACTACAAAGACGATTTTGTTTTAGTGTAGGTGAGTAATTTTATTACTAAAATTCAGAAATAACTTTAAAATACTATAGGTAACTGTGATTGTTTGATTTTTCCAGTGAATGTAGCTATCGGTTTACTATGGTAGCTGTATATGTGCCCCCCAACCTCCGTACTCCCCAGAAATCAAAAAGGAAAAGACAAAGATTATAAAGGAAGGACTAAAAAGAAAAAGAAACAGAACAGATTCAGAAAAATGAAGATAAAATTATTTTGAGGCGTGGCAAGAGACCTAGGATGGAAAATGATAACTCTCCTGTGAAGACCGACTGTGTTAATAGATAGATAATGCCTTATTCTGGACAGGACTCTGATTCAGATTAGTGCAAGAAATATCAGTTTTCAGAGAGTTAATCTCCCTGGTTAAGAAACTTCTTGAGGAAAGAAACCTAAATTGTACATGACTTTATATGTAGAGCACCTTTGATTATTTTTTGTGTGTACTAAATGCTGTGTGTGTTTGAAGTCAATATAAGTAAGCTGTTCTTAAAATAATTTTACATACTAATCTCTCTAGTAATAGGATAATTTAGGATTAAGAAAAGACTTTCAGAATGATACACTCTTAAACTCTTCCACATCATACTTTTTTAAACTTCATTTCTTTCCTATGTTGGGTTTTTACAGTAAAGTTTCTGTTGAACTGTTAGAAATACCTGCCCATTTAGAAGATCATCTATTTCTATTGTCCCGGCTCTGTCCTTTTGCATTAGGGATACGTATTTTAAAAAACTCGTGGCTCCCTTTTTGTTAACTGTACAGGCCTATCTTGGAGATAACTGTGGATTTGGTTCGAGACCACTATGATAAAGCAAATAAAGTGATGCACACAAACTTTTTGGTCTGCTAGTGCATATAAAATTTATATTCATAAATTATACTGTAGTCTATTAAGAATGCAATAACATCTATAAAAACAATTTTCATATCAATTTAAAAGCTTTATTGCTAAAAATTCTGACCATCACCTAAGCCTTCAGCTAATCATATAATCATTTTGCCGGTGAAGGGTCTTGTCTTGATGTCGATGGCCACTGACTGATCAGGATGGTAGTCACTGAACGTTGGGGTGCCTGTGACGATTTCTTATAAGACAACAATGAAGTCTGCCAGATCAGTTGAGTTTCCTTTCACAAATGATTTCTCGGAAGCATTCAGTGCTGTTTGACAGCATTTTCCCATGGTAGAACTTCTTTCAGAATTGGAGTCAGTCATTTCAACAGTCTTCACAGCATCTTCACGAGCGGTAAATTCCATCTCAAGCAACCCTTTCTTTGCTCATTTATAAGAAGTAACTGATGATCCATTAAAGTGTATCGTGAGATGGCAGCAATTCAGTCACAGCTCCAGGCTTCAGACCTGATTCTAGATTTCTTGCTTTTTCCACCACATTTGCAGTGACTTCCTCCTTTGAGTCTTGAACCCTTCAAAGTTACCTGTGAAGGTTGGAGTCGGCTTCCTCCCAACTCTTGCAATTGTTGGCATTTGACCACTTCCCATGAATCATGAATGTTCTTAAAGGCACCTCGAATGGGGAATTTTTCCTAGAAAGTTTCCACTTACTTTGCCCAGGTCCTCCAGAGGGAACACTGTCTATGGCAGCTGTAGCTTTACAAAACATATTTTCTTAAACAGTAGGCTTGGAAGTCAATATTACACCTCGATCCTTGGGATGCTGAAAGGAAGTTGTGTTAGCAGTCACAAAAAGAACATTAATTTCATTGTCTGTTGCCACTAGAGCTCTTCGGTGACCAGGTGCCTTGTCAGTGAGTAGTACCACTTTGAAAGGAATCTTTTTTCAGCAGTAGATCTCAACAATGGGCTTCCGATATTCAGAAAACCATGTTGTAAACATGTGCTGTCATCCAGGCCTTGTTGTTCCACATAGAGAGCACAGGCAGAGTAGCTTTAGCATAATTCCAAAGGCCCTAAGATACTCAGAATGGAAAATGAGCACTGGCTGAGCTTCAAGCCATCGTCTGCATTTGGCCTTAATGAGAGAGTCAGCCTGTCCCGGAAAGCTTTGAAGCTAGGCAGCAACTTCTCTCTAGCTGTGGATGTCCTAGATGGCACCTTCTCTAACACAGGCTGTTTTGTGTGCACTGAAAACCTGTTGCTTAGTGTAGCTCCCTTCTTTCATTAATCATGTTAGCTCGATCCTCTGAACAACTTGCTGCAGCATCTATGTCAGCCCTTGCTGCTTCTTCAACTTGGACTTTGATGTTGCAGACGGCTTCTTCGCTTGAATAGCACGACCCAGGTCCTGCTGGCTTCAGGCTCTCTCCTGCAGCTTCTTCACGTCCCTCAGCCTTCATAGAACTAGGAGAGTTAAGGCCTTGCTCTTCATTAGGCTCTGGTTTAAAGGACTTTTGTGGCTGATCTGATCATTCAGACCACTAAAGCTTTCTTTGTTGCAGCAGTAAGATGTTTTGCTTTCTTGTCATCCCTGCATTCACTGAATAGTGCTTTTAATTTCCTTCAAGAACTCTTCTTTGCAATCGCAGGTTGGCTAACCTTGTTGAAGGAGGCCCAGCTTTTGTGAGGGAACAGCTGGTCAGTTTTAGAGCTTTTTCATCATCTTGGGAAGAAACTCTGCCCTATTGGCAGTCTCTTTTAGAGCACACACAGTGTGTATGGATTAGGTTAGCTGCCTATAAGGGTGAAGTTTGTAGCACCCGAAAAGTTAGACTAGCACCATCAAAGATTACTGATCACAGGTCACCATAATAAACACAATCAATACTAATGAAAAAGTCTGAATTACAGAAGTATGAAAATGTGACAAAGCAAGCAAATGCTATTGGGCAATCCTTGCTTGATAGAGCCTTGCCACAAAGCTTCAATTAAAAAAAAATCTGCAAAGCCCAGTAAACCTGTATGGCATCTCATATAAGCTGATAAATACTGGATTTCAAGCTTTAGTTTTCCTCAGTCTTACCAAAAGGCCTAAATACAAACTTTCCTTTTATTAACATTAATAATGCTAAATTAGGAATGGGAGGTTCGCTTTAGTTTTTGTTTTTATATAATTTGTAATTAAAATAATTCCAAAGTAAATGAAGTTACTGATGTATATTTTACTTTCCAAAATAGTTTTTAGATTCTTATTTGACATTTTAGTATTTTAGAGCTCCTTTTTTATTTACTACATTTAATTGCTTTGAATTTGAATAATTGAATAAAACAAATGATTCCAAAACATTAACAATTTTTAGTACTTGTTTTCTGAATTTGTTGAATCTTAAGGATTTAGAATTATTTATCTAACGTTCTTGTACTAAAAAAAGTTTAACTTTGGTAGTACAGTTTTGTACATTTTAAGAATTTATTAGCAACCCTGATACTTTTAATAAAGGAAAAAAGTTATTAGCAACCCTGATACTTTTAATAAAGGAAAAAAGTTATTAGCAACCCTGATACTTTTAATAAAGGAAAAAAGTTAATCTTAACACTACTCTGTATTAATTATGTATAATGTGAGAGTCATAGGAACTACACAGATTACTTCAAACATTATTACAATAATCTATAAATTTGTTAAATTGGAGTTGATGAATATTAGAGTTGCACAGCATTATTTTTAATAACAGACAATAACTGGTCTCTAGATTTTCAGGTTTCACAGAGGTATTCTGGAAATAACGTAGAAAAAGAGACATCTTACTATGAAATTATCATTACTATCTAAACCTATATTGACTTAAGTATTACTTAACAATAAATGAAAGCTTAAGGGTAAAACGTTGAGAAATTTGGAGTTCATATTCTTCAGGTGAGAAAATACGTTGGAAAATTAAGAGGAGAAAAGTTTTCTCAATTCATGTTATGTGGATAAAGAGTATATTTTGTTTTTCTAAAGGGTTTAAGGAATTAAAGTGAATATGTGCTGATATGAACAGCCGATTTTGTTCTGAATGGATTACTAGTATCCTAAATGATTTTATTTTTCTAAATGCCTTATGCTTTAAATTTAATTCATGTTTTAAAAAAATCTGTTTTCAAACCTAATAGCTGATATAGTTCTGCTTATTATTTTACAGGAATTTAGGTAAAAATGGCTTGTCTGATAGCTGCATTTTATTGGATAAATGTCCACCTCCAAGGCCACCAACTTCACCCTACCCTCCCTTGCCAAAGGACAAATTGAATCCACCTACACCAAGTATTTATGTGAGTATCATCGATTAACTAGAAATAAATCAATTGTCCAAACTAATCTGTCTTCCGAAGATACATTCTAAGCCAGTTAAATTGTTTTTGAAAAGTTTAACTAATTAAATTTTTTCTGAGTAGTTAAAGATTAAGGTAAAACATATTTGTATGCCAGAGCGTGGATGACAGTCTAAATATGGTCTAATACCTAATATTTTATAAATAAAGTTTTACTGCTACACAGTCAAGCTCATTTATTTAACATGTTGTCTCTAATTGCTTTGCATGAGATTAGCATAGTTAAGTATTTGCAAAACAATATGTATTTGATAAAACTAAAAATACTGTCAGACCTTTTACGGAAAAAGTTATTGAAAACTGGTATATTTGTAATATTTTTTTGAAGAGTATTTTTAAATTTAAAATGTTTTCTCACTTATAGACTGGTATTGTATGAGAGTAGCAGAAGATTTTTTTTTGTTTCATTATCTTTTCAACATTTCTAAACTGACATTCTGCCTCCTGCAAGTTGTATAGACCTTGAAATTTATTTGATTTTATGTGATTAAAAAAGAATTTTTGTATCTTTAAGACACAAGTGAAAAAATTCTAAGCTACAAATTGTAGATTAAGTATTTAGAATGATTTTATAGATGAGAGGATTTTAGAGATTTGGCTTTTTACCCTCAGTTATACTAATCTTTTACTAAATTAAATTTGTTGATAATCTTACTGGGTAGAAAGCTCCTGAAATCACAATAAAAATAAATGTTTCAAACTAAGCTTTAGAAAATAAATGGAAAATGAAGATTTATCTTTTGTGGGTGGTACTGAACCAGTTTTGATTTTCGTATGATTTTAAAACTTTTGAACTTTAAATTTCACTTCTCCCACTTTCATGCAAGAAATACAAAACTGCACTTGATGAATATACTTGGAACAATACTTTTGAACTACTAAACTGTTTAAATATATTTTGTAAATCTTAGTTGTGATGTAAGTAGTTGGAAACATTGCAAAATTTATCAAATTTAAAATTTATTTCTCTACTGGAGAAATTTATATAGCAATTATATCATAATTTTCTGAAAAGACTAATAAAATACTGTGATATGTAACAAAACAATTTCAGTGGTTAAGATTAAAATGTATACAACTCATAAAATTAATATAAATTTGTAGTATGCTACTTAGTAATTTTTCTGAGATCTAACAAAATATTTTAATTTTATAGTTGGAAAATAAGCGTGATGCTTTCTTTCCTCCATTACATCAATTTTGTACAAATCCCAAAAACCCTGTTACTGTTATACGTGGCCTTGCTGGAGCTCTTAAGTTAGGTAAGGTTTTTTAAAAATATATTTGAACATTTCTTTTACTGTTATTTTAAAAACACTGGCAGAAACTCATGAGGGGTTTTTTTTTTTAGGGTTTTTTTGTTTTTGTTTTTGTTTTTAATGTTCTTTCTATCTCTAGCACATATTTACTACATGATGCCAGTATAGATTATTGGCAAATCTGTGGTGGATATTTTTAGTTATTAATTTCTTGTTTTGCAACATGAGTGATTTAGGTTAGATAACCACAACCTTCTGAATAAAATGTAGGTGAAATTAGATCCTACTTAAAATGCTATAGCCCCTTTTACTCCTCTCATGATGTTTAGATCTGGTGCTTCAAGTACGTGCTATGCAAATTTGGCAGCACATGTCTGGCTTGAAGCAGTTGTCAATGGAAATGCATGGAACTCCATAATGTTTTTAAAAGTTCCTTTGAAATGTTCATTGTACTAAGTACAGTTTTATTAACACAACTTATTTATTGTGAAGATCTTGGACTTTTCTCTACCAAAACTTTGGTAGAAGCTAATAATGAACATACAGTAGAAGTGAGGACACAGTTGTTGCAACCAGCTGATGAAAACTGGGACCCCACTGGAACAAAGAAAATCTGGCGCTGTGAAAGTAATAGATCACATACGACCATTGCTAAGTATGCACAGTATCAAGCCTCTTCCTTCCAGGAATCATTGAGAGTAAGTGTTTATTTCTTTAGAGATTATTTTGTTAAGTAAACAATGTGTTTAGTTTATGTAATTATGTTTCATAAGTGCTATAACTTACAAATTATATGAGGTTTTTACTATTAAGTTATAGTTGATAATATAGTGATAGTTGATAAAAGCCATATTGGTAATAAGACATAAAATTACTATCTTATAATATAACCTTCTATTTTTCAAATCTTTCTCTTTAGGATGATAAAGTAAGTCTACTTAATGGTTGAATAATGGTTTTACTATGAAGAAGAGTATGTGAGAAGCTCTCATTTTCATTTGGTCAATGACAAGATGTTTTCATTTTGTTTTATCTGAAGTATTCTTCCTATATCAATCATAGTTTCTAATGAAAACTACAGAGAAGGAAGATATTTAGAAAAATACCTCAAAATACATGAAAAATCTTAAACTAGAGAGTGGTTACTAAAAGACCTAATAGCAAATGAATCAGTAATGGAATCCCCTGTTTGTTGTTAAAATAATAATTTTGAATTCTTTCACAAATAAACATAGTGGTAGCAATGAGATCACTAACTATATTCCTCAAATACTTATTTTAATTAAGTTTGTTCTTTGTATGTATCTCTTAATGTAAACTGAATTAGAACTCAGTATATCACAGGTAAAATAATGTAGAAATCTCATTAAAAATAGATAATAGGGCAAGGTTAGTGTTAGAGATTCTTTATTAACCATATTTTTTTATTAGACTACCTTTTTCAAAAACACTAGTGTAGTTTTTAAAACATAAGATACAATAGCTGTAATGTATTATTGAAAGTTTTACATTTGTGATTATTTCATGTCATTTATCTTCGGGTTGTGTTTAAAATTCTGACCTCATTTTTACATTTTTAATCATTGTACATCATATTTGTGTAGCCATTGCTACTATTCATCTCTAGCACTTTTTTTTTTTATCATCCCCAATGGAACATCTGTATCCTTTAAATGATGAGTCACCACTGCCTTCTTTCCACAGTTCATTTTAACCATATTCTGCTTTTTGTTTTCTGTAAGCCTGTCAATTTTTGTTGCTTGTAAAAGCAAGATCATGCAGTATTTGTTCATTTCTGGGTTATTTCACTTAGAATATCTTCCAAGTTCATGCACAGTCTAACTTGTTTCACAATTTTATTTCTTTTTAAAAGCTGAAAAATACTCTATTGCTAATGTACATAACACATTTTATTTATCTTTTCATCTTTAATGGGCATTTATATTAATTCCATTTTATGACTTTTGTGAATAATGCTGTTAGCCTGGCTTTGTCGATTATATTGATCTTTTCAAAAAACCAGTTTTTGGTTTCATTGATTTTTCTTTATTGATTTTCTGTTTTTAGTTTTATTGATTAATGTTTTAGTTCTTAATTTTTTTTCTTCTGCTTACATTGGATTAAATTTGCTTTTCTTTCTTGTTTCCTTGAGGAGAAACTTAGATGCTTGAGTTCAGATCCTTCTTTCTGTTTGATGTATTGATTGCCCTAAATTTCCTACTAAGCACTGCTTTAGATTCATCTCACAAATTTTAGTCAGTTGTGTTTTCACTTTTTTTTGTTGTTGTTGTTGTCAGTATTAATTTACTATTTTTAAAAAATTAAACTTATTAGGTGGTATTGGTTAATAAAATTATATATGTTTTAAGTGTACATTCAATAATATGTCTATTGTGCGGTCATCATCTGAAGTTAAATTTCCTTTTGTTATATATTTGAACTGTGTTATCATTTTTATTTAGTTCAAAACAATATTTAATTTTTTCCAAGTTTCTTTTTTGACCACATTATTCTGAAATTTGTTGTATAATTTCTATTTATTTGGGAATTTTTCCAGCTATGTTCTTGTTACTGATTTGTAGTTTAATTCTGGGTATTGTGTCATTTCTACATTTTAAAGTTTCTAATGTGTGCTTTGTGGCCCAGAATACGGAGAAGAGTGTGTGTTCTGCTCTTGTTGATGTAGGAGTCTGCAGTTATTCATTATAGACAGTTGATTGTTGGTGCTCTTGAGTTCCACCTTCTCCTTACTGATTTTGTACCCGGAAAATTTATGTTTTCTTAATAGAAGAGTGTTGAAACCTCCAGCTGTTCTGTCAATTTTGCCTCCAGTATTTTGACTCTCTTATGCACATTAAGCATTATTTTTGCTTCTGAAAGAATTCAGCCATTTATTATTAGGTTCTTGATAGTTTCTTCTAAAGTGTAATAAGTCTGAACTTAACTACTTCCACTTTTCTTTGGTTAGCTTTCAGCTTTCATTTATTTTTATGTATATGTTATCTTTATATACATTTATATGGTTTTCTATAGACATGTGTATTTGAGTTTTAATATTTTATGCTCTTTGACAGCCTTTGTCTTTTAATTGGTGTGTTGGGACTATTGACAGTGGTCATTATTGATGTAGTCAGGTTTATATCTACTATCTTGTTACTGTTTTTGAATTACTTTTTATTTTTGTTCTGAGTTTTCTGTTTCTGCCTTTTAAATTTTTAATTGAGCATAATATGATTCATTTCTCTTTTTTCTTAGTATTTGAGTTATACTTCTATTAAAATTATGTTAATGTATATCCTGAAGACTGTAATACACATTTACTACTAATCCAAATTCCCTTTAAGATGTATAGTTATGGAGAGTAGTACAGCTATTTTATAGTAACACAGTATTCCTGATTCTTCCCTCCTCCTTGAATCGTTGCTGTCATTCGTTTAACCTATAGATAAGTATACATAATCAAACACTTCATTTTTATTATTTGGGACAAATTGTAATTTGTTAGACCAGTTAAGAATAAAAAAAATATTAGACCACTATTTTATACCAGGCACAAACATTTACTCCAAATGGACTAATAAGTTGAAAATAAAGACCTGAAACTATAAAACATCTAAAAAAAACCATGCAGGTAATCTGGACTTCAGCCTCAACACATTTTTTGTGTGTTTGACAGCAAAAGTGAAGATAACAAAAGCAAAAATAAACAAGTATGATGACATCAAACTAAAAAGTTTTTAAACGGCAAACAGTAGTGCTAACAAAATTAAAAGACAACTTATTGAATGGGGGAAATATTGCAAATCTTACAATATATAACATATGTTAAGAACTCATATAACTCCAGAAGAAAAAAAATATTTAGAATAGAGCAAAAGCTCTCAGTAGACATTTTTCCAAAGAAGACATAAAAGTGGCCAAGAAGTACGTATAAAGATTTTCACCATCAGTAATTAACAGGGAAATGCAAATCAACACCACAGTGAGATACCACCTCACACCTGTTAGGATGGCTGCTATAAAAAAGACAAGAGATAAGTATTGACAAGGTTGTAGAGAAATGGTAATCCTCAGCACTGTTGGCAGGAATGTAAATTGGTGCAGTACTATGGAAGTTCTTCAAAAAACAACTTAAAACTATGTCATGACTAAGCAATCCTTCCTTTGAGTATTTATCTGAAGGAAAGAAAATCACTGTCTTATAAAGGAGTCTGCATCCCATTGTGTATTACAGCATTATTTACAATAGTTACGACATGGAAAGAACCTAAGTGTTCATTAAAGATGAAAAGTTAAAAGATATAGTGTGTGGGTATGTGTATATGCACATAGTTGACCATTGAACAACATGTGTCTGAACTGTGCGGGTCCATTTATACATGGAATTTTTTCAGTGAACATGCAGTAGACCTTTTGTATTCTTGGGTTTCACATCACAGATTCAACCAACCCTAGATCAAAAACACTATTTTGACCTGTGATTGAGACTCTACAAGTATGGTGGGCAGACGCAATGCACAGTTCTATGCCATTTAGTATAAGGGAGTCGAACATTGTGGATTTTATTGTTTCTGGAACCAATCTTCCATGTAAACAACAGTACTTACAAGTCATAACTGGGCTGTGCATGGGTAGGCACCCCTAACTCCACTGTATTATTCAGGGGTTGATGGTATAATGGAATTTTATTCAGCCATAAAAAAAAAGAAACTCCAGCTGTTTGCAACAAATTGGTTAGACCTTGAGGATATTATGCTAAGTGAGATAAGTTGGAAACAAATAATGTATGATTTATATGTAGAGTACAGAAAACAGTCAGATTCAGAGAACAAATTGGTGATTACGAGAATTTTGAGTGTGAGTCTGGTGAAATGGGTGAAGGTAGTCAGAAGGTACAGACTCATTTATAAGGTAAATTGTTTTGGGGATGTAAAAACAGCATACCGACTATATTATTACTGATCAGTACTGTACTATATATTTGAAAGTTGCTGTGAGAATAGATCTTAAAAGTTCTAATCACAATATAAAATTATAACTTATGTGAAATGATGGATGTTAACTAATACTCAGTCATTGTCACTTTTCAAATATATCTTCTGTTCATTTCTTCTCTATTGACAGTATGTTATCTTTTGTAGTTTGTTATCTTTTGTAGTTTTCCCATAGTGTTTCAATATTCTGTTCTGATTTCTTTTCAGTCTCTTTTCTGTGCTTTCTAGATTTGGAATTTTCTTTTGAGATATACTCAAACTCAAATTTTTTCTTCAGCTATAGTCACTCTAAGAAGCCTTTCAAAAGCAGTCTTCATTTCTGTTAGCATTTTTTACGTCTGGCGGGGTTTTGTTTTTTAAAAAATTTTCATCTTTCTCCTTTTTTGCAGAATGTTCTAGCATGTTTTCTACTTTACCAGTTAGAACCCTTTTCATTATTAACTGTAGTTGTTTTAAGTTCCTGGTCTAATAATTCCTGCATTTGTGTCATATCTGAGAAATGTTTGATGGTTGCTGTCTTCAAATTGTTATTCTGCCTGTCAGTACATACCTTTGTAATTTTTGTTGAAAGGTGGATATGATGTCCTAGGTAAAAGGAACTAATGTAAATAGGCTTTAAGTGAGTGTTGGTAAAGTGCAGGGTAAGAAAAGTATTCTATAAGTGTTATGGCTAGGTGTCAATTTTACAATAAACCTCTGGCTTTGTACTGTGAACTTCACTAGTGCTTTTTAGTTTGTTTCCCTACTTTAATTTCCCTTGGACAGTTAGCCCCTGGTAAAACCTCAGAAGTCTGGGTGCTCCTTAAGTAGTTTTTCTCAGGGGCAGATCTTGTTAAGAAGAACTGACTACTCTGGTATGTTTCAGAATGCTTGCTTTTTCCTGCCTCTGCTAAAATGGGTGTTTTCTCTGGTGTTTTATATAAGAACCTAGCCAAGCTCCTGAAGATAAACCTCACAATATTGTAGAAGAACCCCTGTTTGTGTTTCATGCTAGAATTTTTTACTTTTAGACAAATCTACACTGAATCTCAGTTTTTCAAGTAGTGTCCTAGGAGATTTCCACTCCCGTTAATTGTGATTTTCATTATTAACCTATCCCTCCGATTTTGGAGATGGCAGTTTCCCTGTATCCTTGATTCTCTTCCTAATCTGAGAATTATTGATTTTTTGGTTTCTTTAGCTTTTTTACTTATTGTTAGGTTTCTTCAGCTTTTTACATGCCTGACCAAGTGCCTTATCAAGTATTTAGTTTGCATGTAAATTTTCTTACCTGTGAATTGTCTTTTTACTTTATTGATAGTGTCCTTTGAAGTACAGAAGTTTTTAATTTTGATGAATTATTGTTTCTTTAGTTTTGGTATCATAGCCAAGAAAGCATTGCATTATCTATGGCTGTGTAGATTTACTGCTATCTTTTATTGTAATAGATTTATAAGTACATCTCTTACATTGTGGTCATTTATCTATTTTATTTTTTTTGGTATGGTAAAAGATAAGCTCCAACTTCATTCTTTTAAATGTGGATTTCTGATTGACTCTCACCACTTCTTCCTTGAATTATATTCTCACATAGGTCAAGAGATTAACATAATTTTTTCATCATTTAATTTTGTTAATGTTTTATGTAAATGTTTTATTATTTTTACAGAATTTATTGTGTCAAAAGTTTAGATTACAAAATACTTTAAGTACTCAATTTTGTTAGTGTAATACATACAAGCAAGGTTAAACATAATAATTAGAAGTAGAAAATTAAATTTTTTTTTTTACCTTATACATCTTTAGCTGTGAGTGTTTCTGTTTGTATGCAAACACATTCCTGCAAGTTTAGAATGTGTGCTTTTGCTTTGCTATTTGGCATTTATAAGTAACTTTGATATTTAGTCAGCTAGTCTTGCTTTGTTGTTGTTGTTGTGTTTTGAACATGTGGGAAATATAAGAACCTAGAGGTTTCATTCTTAGAGAAAAATGTCAGCAGAAAAAAACTCTGCCCTTTGTTTTTGAAGTAGGGAATAAAGTATTGTTAGGACTGTATAGTTAAAATCTTTTCTTTCTAAAAAAATTGTCAGGTTTTATATATTTATTTTTCAGTTCTCTCTCAAATTCTTTGACATCATTTCAAATGAAATTTATACTGTCCAGTGGGCCACCATGAATATTTTTCTTAATTGCATAATACCTGGGTTTTACAATACTAATTTTGTGGCTGCTGTAAGAGATTAAGTACCATGACATTTGGCTTGACTTTTCTTGATTCTCTTCTTTTGTCATTGAAGATTTTTCTTCTGAAATGTGGTTATAGAAGCTTAGTTTTAAAATTATAGCTAATAGCTCTCAAGTAGATATGATTGATTATTCACTTGTGCAATAAAAATGATAGCCTAAAAGAATACTAAGCATGAATGTTTTGGTTTATTTATAGGAAGAAAGTGAGAAAAGAATGCAACATAAAGAATATTTAGATAATGAATCCACATCTTCAAATTTGTAAGTAATATTTAGTGTTCACTTCATATTTCTGTCCAAAAGACATGAATTAATTTTTTTTTTTTTTTTAAGTTCTGGAAAGAGAAGGAAAGGACCTTTTAAAATCATAAAATTTGGAACCAACATTGACCTCTCTGATGATAAAAAGTAAGTCCTCCAGTTCTGTTTACATGAAGTGCAAATATGAATGCAGGATTGGAAATTGCCTAGTTTTGATTTTGTTTCATTCTGAGATCATTTTTTTTTAATGTTGACATTAGCTAAAGCACTAGCAGTTTGAAATATTTTCATTGGGTTTTGAATTAGATTTTTTTTTTTTTTTGCTACTGACGAATGCCGAAACTTCAGTTTTACAAATTTAATCATTTTTTCTTTCCTTTAGAAGATTATTATAAATTTTTTCAATGATTATTAATTTGTTTTCAATTATGTCTGAGAAACAGAACTTTCAAATTTAAAAGTATAATGGAAATTAGAAATTTAAATATTTTCTGATTAGATTGCAATAATTTTGAAGACATAGTTAATTCTCATAAATATTTTAAGTAAGGTTATACTTTTGATCTGTTATTTTATTTCAGGTGGAAATCGCAGCTACATGAGCTGACTAAACTTCCTGCTTTTGTGCGTGTCGTATCCTTGGTCATACAATACTGGGCATGAATACTGTTCAGCTCTACATGAAAGTTCCAGGGAGTCGAACACCAGGTAATTTTCATGAACTACCATATCTTGAATAATTGGAAAAAGGAATTAATCTGATATGAAACTTTAGACATAATCAACTTCTTCCCATCTGTGATTATTAAAGCCAAAGGATTTTAAAGTTGTAATAGGGAAAAATATTTGTAATTACTCTTATAGTTGAACAGAAAATGTTAAGTCATTGTCCCAATGTACCTTTTGTCCTTTTTAAATATAAACACCAAAACAAAAGAAAAAATTTCCTTACAGTTAAGAAATTTTTTAAAGTTAAGTATATTGGGGTAACATTGTTTAATAAATTACATTGATTTTCAAATATACAATTCAGTAATGTTATATATTATATATGTGTGTGTGTGTGTATCTATATATGTTATTTCCCAAAGTTAAATCACCTTACATTATCATCTGTCTGATCCACTTTACGCTCATCTACCTCTCCCATTTCCCCTTATGCTCTGGTAACCACTAAACTGTTTTCCAAGTCCCAGAAAAATTTAATTTGGGAAGGGAGCAGTAAATCACTCATAATTGAAGGAACTCAAGGAAGGTTGAAGGCTTTCTGTTAATCCCATTGATTGCAAGCGGACACTTTTCCAGTTTTTTCACGAGTCATTAAGAACTGTAACATAATCATGAACTAAAATGCTTACTATGTATAATAAATATTTCATTGAAAATACTTCAAATAATATGATGCACTGATATATTCTAATCTATACCATTTTGTTACATTTTTTAAAAGAGAATTCAGAAAATTTCTAATGCAGTAGTACATAACTTTTTTTTTTCTTTTTTATTATGGTGACATTAACAAAATCAAATAAGTTTCAGATGTACAATTCAATAGTAAGCCATATATTTACACTGTGTGTTCACCTCCCACAGTTAGATTTTTTTCTGTCACCACATTTGCCCCCTTTTACCTCGTTTACCTCGCCCTTCCCCTTCTCCATTTCCCTCTGGTAACCACTAGTCTACGTTCCCTGACCATGAGTCTCTGTCCTGTTTCTTGCTTATAGCTTAATATGCCATATATATATAAGTGATATCCTGTGATTTTCAACTTTTTCTGTCTGGCTTATTTCACTTAGCATGATCATCTCGAGGTCCATCCATGTTGTCACAAATGGCAGTATTTCATCTCTTCTTATGACTGAGTAATATTCCATTGTATATATATACCACAGCTTCTTTAGCCAATCATCTATCATAGGACACTTTGGTTGCTTCCATGTCCTGGCCACTGTGAATAATGCTGCTACGAACATCGGTGTGCAAATATCTTTTCAAATATAGGTTTTCAAGTCTTTGGGGGTAAATGCCCAGTAGAGGGATTGCTAGATCACATGGTAGATCAATTCTTAGTTTTTTGAGGAACCTCCATACCGTTTTCCATAATTGCCATACCAGTTTGCAGTCCCACCAGCAGTATATGAGGGTCCTATTTCTCCACATACTCTCCAGCATTTGATATTACTTGTCCTGTTGATTATAGCTATTCTAACAAGTGCGAGATGGTTTCTCATTGTGGTTTTGATTTGCATTTCCCTAATATCTAGCACTGCTGAGCATCTTTTCATGTGTTTGTTGGCCATTTGTATGTCTTCTTGAGAGAAGTGTACTGTGCCCATTTTTTTACTGGATCCTTTGTTTTTGTGTTCTTATTGAGTTATATATCTGAGTTCTTTGTATATGTTGAATATTAGGCCCTTATTGAAAGTATTGCTTGCAAATATATTTTCCCATTCGAATGGTTGTCTCTTTACCTTGTTGACAGTTTCTTTTGCTGTGCAGAAACTTTTTAGTTTGGTGTAGTCCCATTCACTTATTTTTGCTTTTACTCCCCTAACCTTTGAGGTCAAATTCATAAAATCCTTTTTAAGTCCAAGGTCTTTAAGTTTAGTTACTGTGTTTTCTTATATTTATTGTTTCAGTTCTTATATTCAGGTCCTTAAACCATTTTTTGAATTAATTTTGGTATGTGGTGATAGACAACAGTCTAGTTTTATCCTTTCACAAGTGGCCTTCATATTTTCCCAGAACGATTTATTGAAGAAACTTTCCTTTCACTATTGTATGTGTTTGGATTTTTTTTTGTCAAAAATTATTTGCCCATATAAACATGGGTTTATTTCTGGATTACCAGGTTTTGTCATCAGAGTAGTATTGATCTCATAAAATGAGTTGGGAAGTATTGCCTCCTCTTCAGTTATTTGCAAGAATTTGAGGAGAATAGGTATTAAATGTTCTTTGAATGGGCAGTAGAATTCACTAGTGAAGCCATCTGGTCCTAGCCTTTTACTTATTGGTACATTTTTGATGATGTTTCAATTTCCATTCTACTGATAGGTCTATTTAGATTTTCCAGTTCTTCTTGATCAATTCTTAGAAGATTGTATCTTTCTTCTAGGTTATTAAATTTGGTGTTATATGCTTTTTTATAGTATTGTTGTTTGATCCTTTGTATTTCTGCAGTGCCTGTCATCATTTCCTCTCTTTCATCCCTGATTTTGTTCATGTGTGTCCTTTGTTTTTTTTCTTTCTAGCCAGGGGCTTGTCAATTTTCTTAACCTTCTCAAAGAACCAGCTCTTTGTTGTGTTGTTTTTTTTTTTTTTTTCCAGTTTCATTTATTTCTGCTCTAATTTTGATGATTTCTTTCCTTCTGCTGACTTGAGGCTTCATTTGTTCTTCCTTTTCTAGTTTTTTAAGATGAAGCATTAGGTTGTTTATTTGGGCTCATTCTTGTTTTAGGAGGTAGGCCTGTAGTGATGTGAACTTTCTTCTTGCAATCGCTTTGCCATGTCCCAAAAGTTTTGATGTGTTGTACTGTGATTATCATTCGTTTCTGTTTCTCTTTTTATTTCTTCTCTGACCCAGTTATTCTTTAATAACATGTTGTTTAATTTCCATGTATTTGTGCTTCTCTCTGATTTCTTTTTACAGTTGATCTCATTTCAAAGCATTATGATTCAAGAATATGGTTAATATGATTTCCACCCTCTTATATTTGTTGAGGCTGTCTCTGTGTCCCAGTATGTGGTCAGTCCTTGAGAATGTTCTGTGTGCACTAGAGAAGAATGTATAAGCAGCTGTTTTGGAATGGAAGGCTCTGTATAAGTCAGTTATGTCCAATTGGTCTAATGTGTCATTTCCTTATTTTCTGTCTGGATGATCTGTTCATATACGACAGTGCGGTATTTAAGTTCCCTACTATGGTAGTGTTTTGGTCTGTTTCTGCCTTTAGTTCTATTAGTAATTGCTTTACATATTTCTGGGTGCCGTGATTGGGAGCATAGATATTAATAAGTGTTATGTCTTCTTCATGCATGATTCCCTTTGTCATTATGAAATATCCCTCCATATCTTTCTTTAACTTTTTTTAATTTGAAGTCTGTTTCATCTGATGTTAGTACTGGTACTCTTGCTTTTCTCTGAATGCCATATGCTTGGAATATCATTTTCCAATCTTTCACTTTGAGTCTATATTTGTCTTTGGAACTGAGGTGTGTCTTCTGGAGGCAACATATGGTTGGGTTTTCTTTTTTGATCCAATCTGCAACTCTGCCTTTTTATTGGTGAGTTCAGTCTATTTATATTTAGGGAGATTATTGAGATGCGAGTTTTTCCTATAACTATGTTATCTTTTCGTTTCTGGTAGCTCAGTGCTTCCATTGCTTCCTTGTCCTTGTGTTTCTGGTTTGTTGTTGTTTTTTTTTTGGTTTGCTTTTGTGTGTTTTCCATCTGGTCCTTCTTGTTTTATGTTATAAACTTCAGTTCTGAATCTTGGGTGTGTGGTTACCATTATGAATATGTAAAGGATAGTTATATATACAGTCGTCCATTTTCTTCCCTGTGTGCCTCATTTCCATTACCCTTTGCAAATTTGGATCTTTGAGTCCTCCCCTTTTCAGTCATTGTTATCTTGGTTTGTCTCTATGTATGCTAAAGGTTTATTAGTATTTTGATATAGCATATCTTTTTTTCTTCTTTAAGCTTATAATGCCCTGTTCTTAGTATGAGTTGCACTCTTTTGCTTCTATCTGCCTGCTAGTCACCTTACTCATAGTTACGTATTTTTTTGTCATTTTGTTTTAGGTGAGCTGACCCCTTTCAAAATTTCCTGTAATGCAGGCCTTGTAGTAAAGAATTCCCTTAATTTTTGTATGTCTGGAAAGGTTTTTAGTTCTCCTTCATATCTAAAAGAGAGCTTTGCTGGATACTTTACTCTTGGCTGTTAGTTCCTTTCATTTAATATTTCTAATATTTAATTCAATTCCTTTCCAGCTTTAAAAGTTTGTGCTGAGTCATCCAATGATAATCGAGTAGGTTTTCCTTTATAGGTTACCGTCTTCTTTTCCCTGGCTGTCCTGAGAATTTTTACTTTGCCATTGATTTTTGATAATTTTAATGTAATCTGTCTTGGAGGATGCCTTTTTGGATTAGGATAATTAGGTGTTCTGTTGACTTCTTGAATTCCAAGCTCCCGCTCATTCTTTAGATTTGGGAAATTCTCGTCCACTATTTGTCTGAAAATGCTTTCTAATCCCTGCTCCTTTTCCTCTGCTTTGAAAATGCCCATTATTCTTATGTTTCCTCTCCTGGTGGTATCAGCTAGTTATTGTATTTCTCTTTCATGACTTTCATTCTTCGGTTTCTCTCTTTATCCTTCTGATTTATTTCTGGATTTCTGTCTTCGATATCACTGATCCTTTCCTCCATTTGTTTGACTCTGTTTCCCAACTTGTTATTTCATTTATCAGCTCTTGCAGTGTTTTTTTTGTTTTGTTTTGTTTTGTTTTAAATCTTCAGAAGATCTTTACTGTTCTTTTTGAGGGTTTCAGTCTCTTTGCTCTATTCACCTAGTTATTGTTTTCAGTTACTGGAATTGTTTATGTGAATTATTTTGGATCTTGTTGAGATTTTTCTTTGTCATTTAAGTCACATATTTCTATGACTTTAAGCTTATTTTCTGGGGAATTTACTCTTTTTTTTTTTTTCC